TTGTTAAACTCAATGAGTCAGAATCTTTGATTAGTTTTCGGGAAGAACTATTTACAACCGTCTCACCTTTACCTGAAAAATGAGCTTCTTTGTAGTTTTAAATACAAGTGAATGATTAGTGAGAAATGATTAGTGTTACAAAGACATCATGATTTCCCACGAGACGGTCCTGACTCAAAGGAAACTCTTTAAAGGAGACGTCTATTTTGCACAAGTTGTTATTAATCAAAGCAGTTATAAGATGTTTTTGACATGCTTTGGTCAAAACATATTCCTCATGTAATTTGTCTTTCATCTGTGTTTCTGGTGTTTTCTGACATGGTTGTATACAAACAAACGATGCTAATTATAACGTTTGAAGGAGATCAATACTCAGACTGACACACCAGAGTAGCACAAGCAGTAAATACAACTTGTTTGATTTCTGAATATTGATTTTAATTTTATAGTGCGTCATGTTTTTAAGCAGCCAAAATGATTCAAACATCACGCTGACGATAAATGTTGAATAACATAAAGGCCTGCTAACAGCACTCATTGTATAATTACTTACAATTTGTTTGAAGGTCTGGCTGCCCTAAAGGAAGACAAGCTCCCAAAGCTGAGCACATAAAATAAAGAGAATGAAATAGCACCGGTGTTTATTAACACTAATATTATTTTAAATATTTTATATCAGCAGCACACCGAGACCGTCTGAAGTGTAGACGTGAATGTCAGACTATAAACTAACAGCTCATTATTACTGACAACAAAACCTGACTTTGCTGAGGTCACTCTTTTATTACAAATTATTTGAGAAGGCAATTGGTGTATTATCTTTTTAAACGGATAACAACCGTAAAGATGACTGAGACAGAAAACACAGCGCCCTTGTTCGTAGGGAACCTCTGAGGTAGCAGTCCATGTAAATTGACATAAGTTTGATCAACTGTTTATACCTTTACTAAACTAAAATAATAGGCCTCACATTAATTATATGTGAAGGGGACATGCCCCCCCCCCCCCCCCCCAAAAAAAAAAAAAAATTCATTTGGGAACCGCACAGACAAACACACACGTACACACACATACACATTTACCATGAAATATTAGTTCACCCAGCGCTGTTTCTATTTCTACATGAACAAATCCATTCCACTTGATTTATAGAATACTCAAAGCACTAAAAGGCCACTCCAGGTTTTCCTGGTTACCTACAACTCACCGCATGCAGTGTTTCCCCGAGGCTGCTTGCTTTATCAGGGCGCCACTCATCACTGAGTTTTTTGTTTGTTTGTTTGTTTGTTTTTTGACGAGGCAGGGGGAGGACAGGGAGACACTTCTGTGTTGCATGCTAGCTTACCGCTACTTTAGTGCCGGCAGTTGTTGACGGTGGGGTGGCTGTTGGTCAGAATACTCTAAAATCGCCACTGACTCAAGTGTTTGCTAATGTAGATAAACGTAGATGTTTAATAGCCGTTAAAATACACCAGAATTCAGGAAATGGCATCTACTTTATTCAAGCATTTCTGGTAAAGGACCACCAGAACCCCAAACTGATGTGTCCCCCACACACATACACACACATTACAAATGCTTCTGATGCAAATGACTAAAATAGTCATAATGAATTACTCAGCTAATGTGAAGAGTAAACATTCAAAATACAGGTCAAGTGATGAACAAAAGTTGGATAAACTAAAATATGCATTGAAGCATATTTATCAAAATAGTATAAAACAGTGTTTTTTTATATAATTTTGCCTAGACTAATGAAAAAAGGCATGCAACTGGAATAGCATTGTCCAACGTGAAAATGCTAAACAAAATTATTAATGACATCCCATTCCTAATCCATAGGGTTCAATATGACGGTGGTCCACCCTTTGCAGCTAGAACAACTTCAACTCTTCTGGGAAGGCTGTCCACAGGTTTAGGAGTGTGTTTATGGGGATTTTTGACCATTCTTCTAGAAGCGCATTTGTGAGGTCACATACTGATGTTGGATGAGAAGGCCTGACTCTCAGCCTCCGCTCTAATTCATCTCAAAGGTGTTCTATTGGGTTGAGGTCAGGAATCTGTGAAGGCCAGTCAAGTTCATCCACACCAGACTCTGCCATCCATGTCTTTATGGAACTGCTTTGTGCACTTGTGCACAGTCATGTTGGAAGAGGAAGGGGCCAGCTCCAAATTGTTCCCACAAAGTTGGGGGCATGGAATTGTCCAAAATGTCTTGGTATGCTGAAGCAGTCAGAGTTCCTTTCACTGGAACTAAGGGGCCAAGCCCAGCTCCTGAAGAACAACCCCACACCTTAATCCCCCTCCACCAAACTTTACACTTGGCACAGTGCAGTCAGATAAGTACCGTTATCCTGGCAACCGCCAAACCAGACTCGTCCATCAGAATGCCAGATGGAGAAGCGTGATTTGTCACTCCAGAGAACGCACCTCCACTGCTCTAGAGTCCAGTAGCGGCATGCTTTACAGCACTGCATCTGACACTTTGCATTGCACTTGGTGATGCATGGCTCGAATGCAGCTGCTCGACCATGGACCCATTCCATGAAGCTCTCTGTGCACTGTTCTTGAGCTAATCTGAAGGCCACATGAAGTTTGGAGGTCTGTAGTGATTGACTCTGCAGAAAGTGGGTGACCTCTTCGCTCTATGCACTTCAGCATCCACTGACCCCACTCTGACAGTTTACGTGGCCTACCACTTCGTGGCTGAGTTGCTGTCATTCCTAAACACTTCCATTTCTTATAATACAGCTGACAGTTGACTGAGGAATATTTCGGAGCGAGGAAATTTCACAACTGGATTTGTTGCATAGGTGGCATCCCATCAGTTCCACGCTGGAATTCACTGAGCTCCCGAGAGCGACCCATTCTTTCACAAATGTTTGTAAAAACAGTCTTCATGCCTAGGTGCTTCATTTTATACACCTGTGGCCATGGAAGAGATTGGAACACCTGATTCTGATCATTTGGATGGGTGAACAAATACTTTTGGCAATATAGTGTGTATAAATATATATGTATATATATATATATACTGCTTTTCTTTTACATTTTATTGTTGGATGTAACTGGGACCCTGTGTACATAATTTTGCTCCACTACATGTACCACGAGGTGCGAATGACAATAAAGAAACTCTGACTGACTCTGATATATATATATATATATATATATATATATATATATATATATATATA